TCTCCTTTCTGTCTCTAAACTTGCCTATCCTTGCCATTTCATAGAAATGAAATGATAAATATGTGGTCTTTTGTATGTGACTTCTTTCACTCAACCTAATGTTTTCAAGGTTCATTGTGTTGGAGCGTGTGCTGATAAATACGTGGTCTTTTGTATGTGACTTCTTTCACTCAACCTAATGTTTTCAAGGTTCACTGTGTTGGAGCGTGTGTCGGTACTTCATTCCTTTTTATGGCTGAATAATATTTCTTTTTATAAATACACCACTTTGTTTATCTATTCATCAGGTGATGGATATTTGGGTTGTTTCCACTTTGGGAGCTATTATTAGTGGTGCTGCTGTGAACATTCATGTGCAAGGCTTTGTGTGGAAATATATTTTTAATTCTCTTGAGTATTTTCCTAATACTTTTGTAGTCTTGTTCTTCACATTTACACCTTTAATCCATCTGAACTAGATTTTGGTATGAAGTGGTCATATCAGAACCAAGTTCTTATCTTTCACTTAAAATTTATCATAAATATTATTAAAATGATATTAATTGATAATCTTTTTTACCAGTTATAGATGTAGATTGTTCTCTGCAAATATGTCACTTTGTCCATAGTATAGAAGCATGCATTAAAATCTAAGCACAGATTTTCACTACAGTTAGAAGTTAAATAGGTTAGAATATTTTACTTTATTAACATTAGGAGGAATAGCATTATTTTATTTAATGATAATACCTTAATGAGTGGACAGAATTCATTGTAAGGACAACTACATAATATGCAGGACCCACTACAAAATGAAAATGTGGGGCTCTGGCCTGGGGTGGGGAAGTCACTGTCCTTTCCCCATGGGCCCACTGCTCCAACCCACGGTAAACAGGCATCTTTCCAAGGGCTTGCAACCTCTGAGCCAGGATGCATTAAACACCTGGGTGAAGGGTGGGCAAGAGGTGCACCACACTGAGTTGCCAGCTAAGCACACCATGGCACTGCCTGCCCAGGGTGGGGACTGCTTTGCTCTGACCAGGGACTTCATGGCTCTTGTGCCTAACCCTGACCCTCTCCGTACCTGTGTCCAGGACCCCACTGGGGGTAGAGGGTGATGGCTGAATGTGGACCTCTCAGTTGTCACCTCTGGCAGAGGGAGGCAGCAGTCATGAGGCATGGATGAGCTGGCCCCCTGGGGCCCAAGGTGCCAGGGCAGGGACCAGGGGGAAAGAACCCATCATGGAGAGAGACCATGAGAAATGGGAACCACATGGTAGTCGAGGCTTCAAGCCCTCAGACACGCTCCATTGTCTCACTGGACTTCACTTAAAAACATAAAAATCAAAGGCAAAATGATAACAAATTTTAAGAAGGTGACCTCAGAGCATCAAACTCCAAGTGTGAGACCCTTCAGAGCACTCAGCCCTGAGCTGTCCGTGGGTCCCACTCTCATGAAGCCAGCCCTGCTCTATGTGATTTCTTAACTTTTTAACATTCTTTAAACATTTGGCTCTGCATATGAAATAAATATAAAATAAAGCATGGTGCTGAACATTTTAAATTAAATGAGTTTAAAGTGTATTTGTGTTGTCTTTGGTTAATGGCATTATTAATGATTTTTACCTCATTCTTTGCACTTTTTTGTGTGTTTTCTAGGTTTCCTAGAATGAAATGAGTTACTTTTGTCATTAATCAAACCCTGATGTTATGTAAATGTGCTTTACTAAATATTATTTTATATAAGTGTGATATGTTATAATTCTGTCTCCATTTTTGGTGGGAATACATATTTTAGTACTTTAACTTAAAAAACGGTTTCTTTCCTTACCCAGGTCTATTAATATAAGATTAGCCAATTGCATGGATACTCCTCATATTGAAAATCTCATCAGCACCACCATGTCAGGTAAATCATATTGGAGAATTTAGCCCAATACAATGAGGCTCACAGAGACCCTGTAAGTACCTGATGCAACCAGACCTCATGATACAGGATTATTAGGACCCGTGCAGCTTCAGCTCTGCAGCTTGCTTTGACCTCAGTTGGCAAATCATGTGGTGGGGAGTGGCAGGGGTGGGGTAGAAGATGGGAACAAGAGGAGGAAACAAGGAAACTGGGGTTTTGAAAAGTGAGGCTATTCTCCTCAGTGGTGGCCCCCAGTCAGATACCTTATGTCCCTAACATGGGGAGGGAAAATTTGGACTTGATCCAGACAAACATCACAAACTACAATAGATTCTAGTCTTCAGAATAGGCAAATACAATCGTGATTAGGGAAAGGTGGCTCAGGAATCTGTGAGTATCTGTTGCCCACCCCAGCAGCATTGACTATCACATTAGGGTAGCGGGACCCCATCTGACCCTACTGGATGATGAGTTTGACCAGACCCTTTTGTTGAGTTGGCTGCATCCTTGAGGGTTGGATGGGCTGGGAAAGATCCTGTATGACAGATGTTGAGTTCTATTTCTAGTGTAGCGACACATTATGTACCATGGCAAAGGGCAGGCTAGTAGGCATCCTTACGTTAGCACAGCTGTCTTAAGGGCCATGCCTGTTCATTGGACTAGACATGGAATGATGCATATAGTTAGAGAACCAGGCAGTTATTTTTTTGATACACTTATTTTTTAAAAAAATTATTGCAATATGACCAAAAAACAGTTTGATGGATTTCACAATTTGAATGTATCATGTACCAGCACCTGTTTCAAGAAGTAGACTAGCTCCAGCTGGCCAGAAGTCCCCATCATGCTTCTGTACAGGCACTTTCCCCCTAGGTTACTACCACCGCAGCTTCTAAGATCAGAGATCAGTTATGCGTATTTTGAACTTTATGTAAATGGAAACATACAGTTTGTTTTCTGATACCAGGTTTCTTTTGCTCAGCAGTGGTTAAGTGACTCATCTATATTATGGTGTAAAATATTTCATTGCATGAATATTTCTTCATTCCATTGCTAAAGTCATCTGGGGAGTTTCAAGTTATTTTCTATTTCAGAAAAAGATCTTTAGGTTCTTTTTTATTCAATTTATTTTTTTATTTTAATTATTCAGTATACAATGTAGTTGATTTTTGTGTCCCTTTACCAATTTCTCTTACCCATCTCCCTCTCCCCCCACCCACCCACCAATGTCATGTCTGTTCACTTGTCCTAAGTTCAAGGAATTGTGATTGTTGTGTCTTCTTCCCTGTCCCCCCACTGTTTGTTTGTATATTTATTTATTTATTTTTAGCTCCCACAAATAAGTGAGAACATGTGGTATTTCTCTTTCTGTGCACGACTTATTTCACTTAATATAATTTTTCTAAGTCCATCCATGTTGCTGCAAATGGTAGTATTTCATTCTGTTTTATAGCACAGCAGTATTCCATGGTGTAGATATACCACAGTTTCCTTATCCACTCGTCTGATGATGGACATTTGGGCTGGTTCCAACTCTTGGCTATTGTAAATAGTGCTGCAATAAACATGGGAGTACAGGTATCCCTTTGGCATGATGACTTCCATTCCTCTGGATATATTCCCAGCAGTGGAATAGCTGGGTCATGTGGGAGATCTATCTGTAATTGTTTGAGGAACCTCCACACCATTTTCTATAAAGGCTGCACCATTTGGCAGTCCCACCAACAGTGTAGGAGAGTTCCTTTTTCTCTGCAACCTCACCAGAATTTATCATTCTCAGTCTTTTGGATATTAGCCATCCTAACTGGAGTGAATATTTTGGATATTAGCCATCCTAACTGGAGTGAATAGTATCTCAGTGTGGTTTTGATTTGCATTTCCCAAATACTGAGTGATGTTGAGCATTTTTTCATGTATCTGTTGGCCATTTGCATATCTTCCTTTGAGAAATGCCTATTCAGCTCCTTTGCCCATTTTTGAATTGGGTTACTTGTTTTTTGTTGTAAAGTTGTTTGAGTTCCTTGTATATTCTGGATATTAACCCTTTGTCAGATGTATATTTTGCAAATATTTTCTCCCATTCTGTTGGTTGTCTTTTCACTCTGTTAAGTTTTTTCTTTTGCTGTACAGAAGGTTTTTAGTTTGATATAATCCCATTTGTTTATTTTTCCATTGGTTGCCTATGCCTTTGGGGTTGTATTCATGATGTCTGTACCCACTGCTACTTCCTGGAGTGTTTCCCGTATGTTTTTCTTAAGGAGTTTTATTGTTCCAGGATGTATATTTAATTCTTTAATCCATTTTGAGTTGATTTTAGTATATGGTGAGAGGTATGGTTCTAGTTTCATTCTCCTGCATATGGATATCCAGCTTTCCCACACCATTTGCTGAAGAGGCAGTCTCTTCCCCAGTGTATAGGCTTGGTGCCTTTGTCAAAGATCAGATGGCTGTAGGTGTGTGGGTTGATTTCTGGATTCTCTATTCTATTCCATTGATCAGTGTGTCTGTTTTTATGCCAGTACCATGCTGTATTGGTTATTATAGCTTTGTAGTATAGTTTAAAGTCAGATAGTGTTATGCCTCCAGCTTTATTTTTTTTGCTCAGAATTGCTTCGGCTATGTGTGGTCTTTTGTTATTCCATACAAATGTTAGGATAGTTTTTTCCATTTCTGAGAAAAATGTAATTGGAATTTTGATGGGGATTTTATTGAATCTGTAGATCACTTTGGGTAGTATGAACATTTTCACAACTGATTCTTCCAATCCAAGAGCATGGGATATATATCCATCTTCCTGTGTCGTCTTTAATTTCTCTCAACAGTGGTTGTAGTTTTCATTGTAGGGATTTTTCACCTCCATGGTTAACTTTATTCCTAAGGATTTTACTTTTTTGGTGGCTATTGTAAATGGGCTAGCTTTCTTGATTTCTTTTTTTGCATGTTCACTGTTGGAGTATAGAAATGCTAATGATTTTTGTGTGTTGATTTTGTGTTCTGCAACTTTGTTGAAATCATTTATCAACTCTAAGAGTTTTTTGTACAGACTTTAGGCTGTTTGATATATAGGATCATATCATCCACAAATAGGAACAGTTTGACTTCATCTTTTCCAATCTGGATGCCCTTTATACCCTTTTCTTCTCTTATTACTTTGGGTAGTACTTTCAACACTATGTTGAATAGGCATGGTGAGAGTGGGCATGCTTGTCTAGTTCCTGTTCTTAAGGGAAAAGCTTTCAGCTTTTCTTCATTCATGATGATATTGGCAGTGGGCTTATCATATAATGGCTTTAATTATATGGCGATATATTCTGTCTATAGCTAATTTGTAGAGAGTCTTTATCATGAACAAATGTTGAATTTTATCAAATGCTTTTTCAGAGTCCATAGAGATGATCATATGGTCTTTGTCTTTGCTTTTATTGACATAGTGTATCACATTTATTGATTTGTGTGTGTTGAACCAACCTTGCATTCCTGGGATGAATCCAACTTGATCATGGTGTATAGTTTTGTGTATGTGTTGCTGTATTCCATTAGCTAGTATTTTATTGAGGATTTTTGGATCTGTATTCATCAAGGATATAGGCCTGTATTTTCTATTTTTGTTGTATCTTTGTCTGGTTTTGGTATCAGGGTGATGTTTGCCTCATAGAATGAGTTTGGGAGAATGGCCTCTGTTTCAACCATTTGGAATAGTTCATAGAGAATTGGTATCAGTTCCTCTTTGAAGGTTTGGTAGAACTCTGCAGTGAAACCATCTGGTCCTATTCTTTTCTTTGTTGATAGCCTTTTGATAACAACTTCAATATCTTTTATTGTTATTGGTCTCTTCAGATTTTCTGTATCTTCTTGGCTCAGTTTTGGTTGTTTGTGTGTGTCCAGACAGAAAATTATCCATTTCCTCCAGATTTTCAAATTCATTGCTATATAGTTGTTTATAGTAGTCTCTAATGATTCCTTGTATTTCTTAGATCTCAGTTGTAATACCACCTTTTTCATTTCTAATTTTTGTTATTTGGGTCTTCTCTCTTCTTTTTTAGTTAGTCTTGCTAAAGATTTGTCAATTGTATTTATCTTTTCATAAACCCAACTTTTTGTTTCATTTATCTTTTGTGTCATTTTTTGGGTTTCTATTTCATTTAGTTCTGCTCTGATCTTATTTCTTTCCATCTACTAACGTTGGGTTTGGATTGTTCTTGTTTTTCTAGATCTTTAAGATGGAGTGTTAGGTTGTTTATTTGCCATCTTTCCATTCTTCTGAAGTAAGCATTTAATGTGATTAATTTCCCCCTTAATACTGCTTTTGCTGTATCCCACAGGTTTTGGTATGAGGTGTCATTATTTTCATTAGTTTCAAGAAATTTTTTGATTTCCTGTTTAATTTCTTCTTGGAACTATTTGTCATTATGTAGAATGTTGTTTAATTTCCATGTGTTTGCGTAGTTTCTAGAGTTTTGTTTGTTATTAATTTCTTTTTTTTTTTGTCTTTTGTCTTTTTCCATGTCCGGCAACGGATCGCAACCCTA